ATTTTGCTCTTCCAGGCCTGCCCCTCACATTTACCACTTCCCTCTCCCAGCCCTGGATGTCTCCCTCCCTCGTTCACAAGATCTCTGTGTGAGTATCAAAGACTCCTTTGCTAAGCAGCTCACAGTTCCATCCCAGCTACCAGGCAGCACAGGGCAAATTTTCACAGGGAGTGCTGGATGCAAAATACAGCGCTGGGTTCAGAATGTAGCTCCCTGGTAATCTCGGATGCCACCGAAAAGTAAAACGCAAAGCAAGTCTCTGTCCCCCTTTGGCTGCAAAAGTGTGGGTAACCCTTGCTGAAATTTCAAAAGCCAGAGAAAGATTTGCAGAGGATGGAATGCCCTGGGTGGTTTGATGCTTTTCCCTGTGAGTGGGACCTGAATAAATTATGCAGATGAAGGGAAATCTTGCAAACTTGCATAAGCCACACAAATCTTAGAGGGGTGCAACAGAGTGTCTTGTGAAGACCAACAGATTTAGGGCTGCAATCCTAGACCCACTTACCTGGGAGCAGGTGCCACTGAACTCAACTGGCGTAACTTCTGATTTCTTCTGGCCGAGGTCTTCAGTTGGGCTAGAGGAACCAGCTTCACGGGACGCATGAAACGACCCCAAGTGTGGAAGAGAGTAAGATAAATATTTCTGGTTTACAAAACCAAGGTTAAAAAACTGCTTGCCCTTTTGGTCTTACGTTACAAAGCAACAGTATTTTTCTTCGTTGCTGTGTATGCAAGTGTTTTTATACAGCTACCCAGACAATAAAGATGTGTTCTCTGCTGTCCTTGGAGGGCAGCACCATCAGTTACAGGAGAACAGATTTTGGATAAACATTATCCCAAATGTCTTGACTGAGAGAGCAGCTCAGCAACGGAACCAGCTCAGATTCCATTATATGATCCTACTGTTCACCTAGGTCATCCTTTTTTAATGCAACCAAAGTGGGTTCCTCTGGACCACCACATCAGATCTGTTAGCCTTCCAATGTGCCATTCTTTCTTGGTCAGTCTTGTTGCTGTCAGTCACCAGGTCATAAAAACGAGAGGTTTTTTTCTGTTCATGACCCAACCCCTTCAGATCCAAGGCTCCCGATCGTGGATGAGGAACAGCTGAAGGAGCTGGGTATGTTTAGCCTGGAAAAGAGGACTGAGAAGAGATATGATAGCCATCTTCAAATATCTCATGGAAGATGGAGCAAGCTTGTTTTCTCTTGCTCTGGAGGGAAGGACTCGAACCCACGGCTTCAAGTTGCAAGGAGATTCTGACTTAACATTAGGAAGAACTTTCTGTTGCTAAGAGCAGTTTGACAGTGGAACAGGCTAAGAGGGAGGTTTTTAAGCAGAGATTGGATGGCCATCTGTCATTGATGCTTTAGTTGAGATTCCTGCATTGCAGGGGGTTGGACTAGATGACCCTTGGGGTCCCTTCGAACTCTACAGTTCTATGATTTTGTGATTTCAGACATCAGGAAGTCTCCCTGCCCGCAACCTGCTGGGCAGGGAGGAGAGACCAGGGGTGTGAGAGAGAGGAGGTGAGAGAGAGGGGGGTCTTTTCCATTTGGCTCTGACCTCCACCCACTGCCAGATTCGGACTCACCCACCACCAGCTTGCAGCCGGACAGAGTATTACCCGTCCCCACGAGAGGAATGTGGGTCACACAGAAAAAAGTCCGTCCCACTGGTAATGAAACAGAGGCGCTAATTCCCTGTTCATGCACCCAAACATGGAGGAGCGATTATGTTAAGGGGTGGCCGGGAAGAGTGAGGTCATTGCTGTGAGGAGCCAAGCCGAGATGGGAGATAATGGAAACCCCTTTTACTGGGAATGGACTCATTTGGGCATTTTATCTTAGCGGAAATAGCAGCACCTGCATCCCACAAGGCCATTAGCGGATGGGAGAGAAGTCCTTTTGAGTGGACCTCAGGCGCCGTGGGAAAAAGCTTCTTCCCCAATGGGATGGGAGCCTCCGGCTTTCGATCTCAGGACCCGTGGAGCACCAAAGCAGTGCCCACTAGGGATCCATTTGCAGAGCACCATACACATTCGTAAGAAGGGCCCTGCAGCCGGGCAAAAGAGCCTAAGAAGAGGCTGCTGGATCAGACCAATGGCTCATCAAGTCCAACATCTTGCCACCCAGATGATGATGATGATTGTTATTGCTATTATTATTAACAGGATTTGAGCACCAGAGCCCCCTCCTCTCCTGTAGTTTCCAGCAACGGGTAGAATAATAGAATCATAGAATTGTAGAGTTGGAAGGGACCCCGAGGGTCATCTAGTCCAACCCGCTGCAATCTCAGGAATCTCAGCTTAAGCATCCCTGACAGATGGCTGTTCCACCTCTCCTTAAAAACCTCCAAGGAAGGAGAGTCCATAACCTCCAGAGGGAGACCGTTTCACTGTCAAACAGCTCTTAACATCAGGGAAAACCTTCCTTGTAACTTGAAGCCGCAGGTTCAAGTCCTATCCTCCAGAGCAGAAGAAAACCAAGTTGTTCCTTCTTCCTCGTGACAGCCTTTGAGATCCTCTTTTAAAGCCAGCCGAGTTGTAGTCCAACAACATCTGGAGACCCAAAATTGAGAAAGGTTGTTCCAGACTGTTGGGGAGTCCAGCAATTCCAGGAGGATGACAGGTCAAGGGGCTGGTTTTTATTTCCTTTATGGTTTTGGCATTCCATTTTCTTCATTTTGGGCTTAAACTCGGAACGCGTTTTTCTGCACAAACCGCCCAGGACTAGAGTCAGACATGGAAGAACATAGGCTCGTTGCCCCACCTAGTGGCAAGAAGTTGCAAAGGCGGTTAGTGACCCAAATCTCATGCAATATTGCCCTTCTTCCCTAAAATAAAGAAAACAGCGTGCAAAATGGGGCCACCTCCTAGATACGGTTTGGGTCTGCACTGGGGAAAACCTTCAGCTATGCAGAAAAATACAATGCAGGTCTGAGTACTTTTAAGAGAGGGAAACCCCCCTCCCAACATATGAAATCTACAGTAGCACAACATCTTATTCTGGGAACAGCTGTGAGCCCTGAACAGGGAACCAGGCAGAAGGCCTCCTCGGTGGTGGCCCCCTGACTTTCTAAAAGTCAGAAAGTTGTTTGTTTCTTTGACATCTGATGGGAGGGTGTTCCACAAAGAAATAAACAACTTTCTGACTTTTAGAAGACACCTGAAGGCAGCCCTGTTTAGGGAAGTTTTTAATGTCTGATGTTTTATTGTATTTTTAATATTTTGTTGGAAGCTGCCCAGAGTGGCTGAGGAGGCCCGGCCAGATGGGCGGAGGTATAAGTAATAAATTATTATTATTGACTTTGAAAGTAATAAATTAAGTAATAAATTATTATTATTGACTTTGAAACCTGGCAGACCTCAGAAGCCAAAGGACAGGACAACAGCCGTCCCCTTAACTAACAGATGAGTGCAAATTTGTAAGAATGAACCACGTTTTCTTGACGTTGCAGAATTCAGGTGTGTGCCTGGCTCTTATCAGAGCACAGATTTTAATTTTAAGAAGGGCAGAAGCACTTGATAGCTGCAAGGACACAGCCTGCCTCAGGAAGCTGTGTCATTGCTTTCTCGTCCGGTTTCGAAGAAGCACTTAAACTGGCAATCTTCTATGACGGCTACGGGAAGGATAATAGGGGAGGCGACCTCCCAAACTTAGAAGCTCGATGGGCTCAGGGGATGGGGAACCTGTGGCCCTTCAAATGTTGTTGGACAAAGTCCCATCAGGCCCAGCCAGCATAGCCAAGGGTCAGGGATGATGGTAGTTGTAGTTCAACAGTATTAGATGAAGCTCTCCATCCCTCATCTAAACAGAACTTGCTGAGGCTCCAGAAACCACCTTTGACAACCCCCTTCCCAGCATCTAAAACTTACAACTGTGCTATTAAACCCCTAGAGCTTTGAAAAATTAAGCATGCTTTGGGGCTTGACATTTAATTGTATTCCCTCGGGGCTCTGTGTCTTCCTTAAATAAAACCTTGTGATACAAATGCATCAAAATAATAGAGGGATTTTTTTTTAGGGGGTGAAAGAAACAGCACAGAAATGATCTTGTTTCTACCTATTTGTTTGTGGAGGGGTTGTTCTGCCCCCCTCCCAAAATTCATTTTCTACCAGCAGCTCACAGCTGTCTATGGAGTCACAGATCAATTCTGTGTCCAGGGCAGCTGTTTACCAGCTCCATCTGGTACGCAGGATGAGACCCTCCCTGCCCGCAGACTGTCTGGCCAGAATGGTGCATGCTCTAGTTATCTCCTGCTTGGACTACTGCAATGCGCTCTATGTGGGGCTACCTTTGAAGGTGACCCGGAAACTACAACTAATCCAGAATGCAGAAGCTAGACTGGTGACTGGAAGACCATATAACACCATTCTTGAAAGACCTACATTGGCTCCCAGGACATTTCCAAGCACAATTCAAAATTTTGGTGCTGACCTTTAAAGCCCTAAATGGCCTCGGTCCAGTATATCTGAAGGAGCGTCTCCACCCCCATTGTTCAGCCCGGACACTGAGGTCCAGCGCCAAGGACCTTCTGGCAGCTCCCCCACTGCGAGAAGTGAGGTTACAGGGAACCATGCAGAGGGCCTTCTCGGTAGTGGTGCCCGGCCTGTGGAACACCCTCCCATCAGATGCCAAGGAAATAAACTGACTTTCAGGAGACAGCCCTGTATAGGGAATTTTAAAAATGTCTGATGTTTTACTCTGTTCTTATATCTGCTGGAAGCCGCCCAGAGTGGCTGCGGCAACCCAGCCAGATGGGTGGCATATAAATAATAAAATTCTTATTATATTATTAAGGAAGCAACATTTTGCTTCTAACATTTGGCAGGTAAGATGCAGGTATATCAGAGACTGCAAGCACATCTCTGACCCTGTCCTTCAGCTGCTTCACTCTTGAGCCATTTCCCCTAGACCGGAAATCCAGTTGGTGGTGCAAATAATAACATTATTATTAGCAATTACTCTGTGGCGGTGAGGGGGGTGTTTCTTGCTGCCCCCCTTTCCGTTGCAGAACTGCACACAACCAGCTCACGCCATCCATTTGATTTGTTTATTTAACTTGCAAGCAAAGGTCTCCCGCTGTCCACAGCTGTTTGATTCACCTGCCCCGCGATGTAATCACCTCTACGCTAAAAATAAAATTAAAACGGTCAATGATGGGGCGGGACACCAAAGCCACAAAGGTTTGCTGGTGGCCCAGATCCCCGGAAGGGGCTCCCTGGCTCATCAAACGTTCTAGGCCGACCCGGGGGAAAACCTGCAAGGACCCGTCGCTTGGGCAGAAGTCCAAACCTTCCCCGTTTCACACACTTGCCAGAAATTATAGGCAGGCAACGGGTGGGATGCATAGGTAGGGAGGCAGACACGGAGACCCTGCAGCCATTTTGGAACGAAGCTGCCGCCATCTTGGATAAGAGCATTCGTCTCCGAATCTGCCATTCTGCCGGGTCGTGTCTCCGTGTTGCGGCCAGCGCTGAAACTTTTAAACTATGGCAGCGGCCGGTGTTTGGGGCAAGGCCCCTGCGCCTCTGGTTAGAAGAATAAGACGTATGGCATCGCCTTGCTGGTATAGAAGGTCTGGCCTGCAGAGTGGAAGTCCTTCAGCACTCCTGAGAGGAGAGGGGGAATTTTGAGTTTCCCTGGCTCCAGATAAAGTGCTCTTTGCTAGACGCAGCGCAGACTGTGCTTGCTCTAACTCGGCTGGGGCGGCCTGCTTCCCTGGGTGTAGGAGAAGCTGTTTGGCGCATCGGCCTCCCAGGCTATGGAAAAGGGAAACGGCACGTGAGCGCAAAGAGCTAGGGAGGGGAGAAGGCGGTGGAAAGACCAGGACTGAGCTCAGCTTTGCTGTCGAAATGGACCGACGGGCCTAGGCTCTCCCCTCTGGCATCACCCTGCTGTGGGAGCTTCCTGGCTGAGATCTCCACTGTGTCCTCTGCTGGCGCAACTGGGGAGGCTGCCACTGGGCTTGGGGACTCCCCCTCCAGGCGACCCTCAGCTGGGACTCCCGGAGCAGCTGAGAGCTGAGGACAGCCGTTTCCCGGTTTGCTGGCTAAGTCAGGCTCTCTTCCCAGAGAGACGCACCCAGGAACATCCCGCTCTGGGGCCATGGGCTCTCCTGAGCTGCCGCACCAGTCCCCTGGCAGCACTTCGGGAACGGGGAGATCCAGCGCTTGGCTGCCGTTTCCTGCGGAGGTGGGCAGGCCCAGGTCCCTCTGGGGTGCGTCATATCCGGGAACGCTCTCCCCCACCTCTCCCAAGCTGTCGAACGTCTGCTGGCCTTCCCCAGCTGAGTGTCCGGAGAGGGTGCTTTGTTGTTCTGTCCCACCAGCTTCGTCGGCCTCCGCAGTCCTGTCCCCACCGGGGCGCACCACGCGGTCGAGAACAGCGGGCTCTGTGCTCCCGGAAGTCTCCTCCCTCCCTGCCGCGGGCTCTGCCTGTTGTGCGCGATCCTCGAGCCTGACCTGCTGGTGGCAGAGGGGGCATGTGTCCTGCACGAAGAACCACTTGCGCAGGCAGCCGTCGTGGAAGAAGTGGCCGCACGGCACGATGACGGCCAGGGTCATCTCCTGAAAGGGGGCAGAATGAGGCGGTTAGCGGGGAAGTGCCTGGAGGGGCAACGGGCAGCGCAGCCCTGAGGTAGAGCACCTGCTCAGCATGCAGAACTTCCTTGGCATCACCGGTTAAAATAGAGCAGGTGGTATATTGGAAAACTTGCTGGAGACCTGCTGCCAAAGTGGAACAGGTAATCCTCAGCCTAGAGTCCTTCCACCCCCTTCCAAAGCTGGAAAAACTAGGCTGTCAGGGACTGGACTAAGGAGGAATGGTGGGGACCACCGCCCACCCTTTCTAAACCTTTCTGGGAAGAGGAGGACAGTATAGTTTTACAACAGTGGTTTGCAGAAGGTCATAGTTCAGAGACTGCAGAAGGGAGAAGCAGCACTAGGGCAGAGACAGCAGACAGACACCCCCCCCCAAGGACCAGGCGTGCATTGAAGGTAGTAGAACAGGAAGCTCAGAGGCAGAAGCTCAGATCAGCTGACGCAGGGATGACGTATACAGTCATACCTCATGTTATGTCCGCTTCATGTTACGTTCTTTCAGGATACATCCCGCGGAGACACGGAAGTACCAGAAAGGGTTACTTCCGGGTTTCGCCGCTCACGCACGCGCAGCTGCACAAAATGACGTCATGCACAGAAGCGGCAAATCGCAACCCGCGCATGCACAGATGCGGGTTGTGTTCTTTTCATGTTGCGAATGGGCCTCCGGAACGGATCCCGTTCGCAACCAGAGGTACCACTGTAATAGGAGAGACGGAGGGGGGTGGGACTTTACTCAGAGCAATGCCATTACCCAAAAGAGATGGCATTTCTATGTTCTCTCTGTGTGAGTATTGAATACAATACTTGGTAAGAACTCTTCTTTATCTGCTTCTTGGCTGCCATCATGGGAGGTACTGGATTCCCTGAAGCCTAATATAGGCTTTGAGAAGGAGGAGGGAAGGCTCTGCCAGAGCCTTGTCCCTCCTTCCCAAAGCTTAGCGTCTCGTTTACCCAGCTTTGGGAAGGCAGCGCGAGGGCTGGTGGGCATCAAATGTTGTTGAGGGCCACCAAAAAAGGACTCGAGGGTTACATTGGACTACCCTGCTATGGAGGAAACCGTGTTGGGCTACCCACAAGTTAGTGGGGATAGCCTAACTCAGGGCTCCCCAACCTGGTCCAGTATTGACTCTAGATTGAGGCCCTAACCCAAGCCAGTCCCCCAAACTAAAATGAACAAGGGCAGGTGGGGACAGACGGTCCAGAGGAGGGAACTGTGGGGGGTTGCGGCTCACTGACATTCACCTGGAAGCAAATGGCGCAGACGTCATTGTGGTCCAAGAGTTGCCTGCTGGTGGCCCTTGGCAGCAAGCTGATCTTCTTGGCCGCCTCTCGGCGGAGCAGGAAGCTCTTCCACCCGGAGTGGGCCCTCAGCCAGACGTTGAAGTAGCAGTGGATGATGATGACGGAGGCCCCCAGCCAGCTCCACTCGCCAAAGATGGACTCCCAGGTCCCGTAGGCCACCACGCAGACGGCCACCAGGAACTCCAGGACGCGGCTGACGGCATTGATGTAGTAGACAATCTCGTCCATCTTCTCCATCGGGGTGTCCTGGAAGAGCTCGATCATGAAGAGGGTGTAGATGAATAGGGTCCCCATCACCTGAAAGGAGGAGGAGGAGGAGGAGGAGGAGGAGGAGGAGGAGGAGGACCATTGGTTTCTCCAGCCAAAGCTGAAGGCCCCAGAGGTCCAGACTGGATCAAGCCCAGAGCCCATTGGCCAGCAACCGATGGCTACTAGCTGCAATGCCTATGCACCATTTTATTATTTCATTTCATTTCATTTTTTAATTTTATTTTGACGAAGTAAAAATCATAAATAAATAAGAATAAAAATGTGCCACCAAGACCATTCCATTGTAACTAACCAACCTCCCAAAATTTCAACACTTCTTGCAGTGGTTTGACCCCTTTCCGTTTTAACAGTACAACTTCTACAAACACCTTCCATATCTCCTCAAAATCATTTCTCCTGCATATTCCCTGTCTTACCTTAATGGCACATGTTAATGTATCATTAATACCTATATCCCACACCTCTTTATACCATTCTTCCATTTTTTATTCACCTTGCCCCTTCCACTTCCTAGCTATAATAATTCATGCAGCTGTCAATCAATTTGTGAGCAAGTCCTTCATAGCCTGTGAACCTTCCACCCCATCGTAAATTGATAATAGTGCTACCTCTGAACTTTTGGTCAGCTTTAACCCAGCGGTATCTAATTATCTCCTTAAATGCCCTTTGCCAAAAAAATTGTACATATTTACACTCCCACCACATGTGAACATAATCCCATTTCCTGGCATCCCTTCCAACATAACACCGAATATTCCTTGTTTATTTCATTTAATCTGACTGGTGCTAAATACCATCTCCAAACTAATTTGTAATGATTTTCTTTTATTCTTATACCACTTGGGATGCACTAGCAAGCGCATCATCAGGGCTCAATGGAGAAAGCCCTCCAATTCTTCCCAGCACCTGGAAAGGTATCCTGCCTCTATACAGAGGGATAATGATGCTCTCCGGACACCACCATTATGTGTCTTTAGAGGCCAGGCAAAAACATTCCTCTTTGGCCATTAATTAATCTATGGCCTCAGGGGCCCCGGGTTATGGGCGCCCAATGGTACCCAATGTGGATATTTTCACCCCCTCCCACTGCGAGAATCTCCTGATATGATGTTTTCAGAAAGGAGGGGGCACAAACTGCTCTTTGCTTCTTCCGCTCCTGCCTGACTCTGTGTGGAGTCTGAGTAACACTCATGCAAGCCAGTAGCTCTTTAGTTTTAGTTTGCAGTAGCTGTTAGAAATAAAAGAAGTTATGCTTCACAGCTTTCTTCTGTGTTGTTCATACTCTGCTGAGTTCGGTGCCCACAATGGACAGTTGTGGGTCCAGTGCGCTTAGACCTGCTTTCCAGGAGTGGAAGGTCTCTGGAAGTGCTCCAGTTCACCTAGACCATTCGGGGCAGAACCAGTTGTTGAGCCCAGTCGTTGGCATCGGCTCAAAGGCATACTGACACCCATGACGTAACGTGACGCTGGCGGCGTGGTGGTGCTTCCAAGGCTTCGCAGGGCCTTGGACGTTGTCTGGGAACTCGCATCGGGGTTCCGGTGCAACTTCCTATAGGAACCAGAAGTCCCTTCGGATTCCCGCATTGTGGGTTCTGAGCACCCACCCAAAAGATTTGTGGAGGCCCTGGATGCCCCCACTAGAATTGGCACCTATGTATGGCCTGTTAAGTGTGGAAGGGGACTGGGACTGTTATCATGATTATTTTATTATTATGCTCTCCATCAACCACCCACCACCCCCTGAAAACTTAATCCACAGCAGTGACCAGAGGAGGAATAACTGCTGAGAGCAGCGCAGAGAGAAGATTTGCAATAATAATAATAATAATAATAATAATAATAATAATAATAATAATAAAAAATTTATATTCCACCCTCCCCAGCCAAAGCCAGGCTCAGAGCAGCTAACAACAATAAAAGTAACACAGCATTCTAAAATCAATTCATTTTAGAATCAATTCAAAATCAAATTCATGGCAACCATTGGGCTAGAGTTCTGTGAGGATTACCAAAGGAGGGGGTCAGACTGTGCCTTGGCCAAAGGGCTGGTGAAACAGCTCTGTCTTGCAGGCCCTGCGGAAAGATGTCAAGTCCCGCAAGGCCCTGGTCTCTTGTGACAGAGTGTTCCACCAAATTGGGGCCATGGCCAAAAAAGCCCTGGCTCTGGCTGAGGCCAGCCTAACCTCCCTGTGGCCTGGGACCTCCAAGATGTTTTTGTTTGAAGACTGTAAGGTCCTCCGTGGGGCATACCAGGAGAGGCGTTCCCGTAGGTACGAGGGTCCTAGGCCGTATACGGCTTTAAAGGTTAAAACCAGCACCTTGAACCTGATCCTGTACTCCACCGGGAGCCAGTGCAGCTGGTATAGCACCGGGTGAATGTGATCCTGCGGCGAGGACCCCGTAAGGAGTCTCGCCGCAGCATTCTGCACCCACTGGAGTTTCTGGGTCAGTCTCAAGGGCAGCCCCACATAGAGCGAGTTACAATAATCAAGTCTGGAGGTGACTGTCGCGTGGATCACAATCTGCAGGACCGAAACCAGACGCCTTTATCTGCCCCAGTTGCAACGGAACATGCCTCTCCTGAGTCAGTCTCTACAGCCACAGCAGGCGCTATAATTCTCCAACACTTTGACTTCACCCCCAAAAGGCGCACTCCTTTGTGGTCTCCCCAGACAGACAGATGCCAGCCGCCATTACTGTTCTACACGGTATTTGGACACAGTATTTTTTAAAGGAAAACCGCCATGAGCACAGATGCCCTCGTGGGAAAGGCGTCCCAGAAATAAACCAGCTCCGGCTACGGGCAAAAAAGGGGCAAGTGTACCTGCAGGGAGGTCAGCATGCAACTGGAGACGAGGATCAGGAGCCAGAAGTCCATGTGGAAGAAGTGAGCGATCTTGTACGCCATGAAGCCCGGGAAGACCAGGAGGAAGAGGCACATGCTGATTCCCCGGAAGTGCTTCCAGAAACTCCTGAAACAACACAGCTGGAAAGCTCAGTGGGTAGAGCACGAGGCTGTTAGGGTCGTGGGTTCGAGCCCCACACTGGGCAACCCCCGCGTTGCAGGGGGTTGGACTAGATGACTCTAGTTGTCCCTTCCAACTCTACGGTCCTGCGATTCTAAGAGATGGAGGGACAGTTTGAGAGGCCCACGAAGGCTGCTGCAAAGTCCATCCCTATCAGCTACGGCCTCAGATACGGAGCTTGGACGGACCAGGGCATAGCTGTCAACGTTTCCCTTTTTTTAAGGGAAATTCCCTTATTCCAAATAGGATTCCTCGCAAGAAAAGGGAAAAGTTGACAGCTATGGACCAGGGGCCTGGCTCAGCAGAAGGCAGCTTCCTATTTAAATCTCCCAGATCCAGAACACAGTCGTACCTTGGAAGTCAAACGGAATCCGTTCCAGAAGTCCGTTCGACTTCCAAAACGTTCGGAAACCAAAGCGCAGCTTCTGATTGGCTGCAGGAAGCTCCTGCAGCCAATGGGAAGCCCCGTCGGATGTTCGGCTTCCAAAAGTACGTTTGAAAACCGGAACACTCACTTCTGGGTTTCGGAAGCCGGTTTGTTCTGGAGCCAAGGTGTTCGAGATCCAAGGTACGACTGTAATGAGGAAACCGCATTTTACTTTAGGGCAGGGTCGTAGCTGAGCAGCAGAGCATCAGTTTTGGACGCAGAAGGTCCCAGGTTCAACAACAGACAGCATCTCTGAGGTAGTGCTGTAGAAAAACTCATTCCTGAAACCCTGGAGAGCTGTTGCCAGTCAGAACAGGCAGTACTGAGGTAGATGAGCCAATGGTGTGACTCTGCATCAGTCAGCTTCCTATGAAGGCTGTGTGAATAGGGCTTGCTTAAGTTTTCAACTTTCAAATTCGCCAAAATGATGAGGGGTGCTAAAAAGTCGTAACATGACATGGGAATTAGAAAAGTATTTCGGCTAAATTTATATAGTTCAGTTTCGCTTGGTACATAAAAGGTGTGTAAAGTTGCACAGAAACAATTTAAAAATGATGCCAAGGACATGCATTATTATTCTTGTTATTCTTGTTGTTGTTGTTATTTAGCGTTACCTGACATTTTCAGAAGGCAAAATTAAAATACTTTGGTTTTCTCAAAGCTTTTTATGTGCTTTTTCATCAAACGTAGACTTACCAAGCTAAATCTGCACAGCCAAAAGCGTATTTTTAAGCCCACTCACTGAAGAAATTTGCAAAAACCAAGCTTCACCCTTAAAATGATGCATACTGCTATAGGACGATTAAAAGTACATATATATTCAGGTGTCCCCCTTTATACACATACAGGTTACATGATGTGTAGGAACTGCTATTTGAGAAAGAAAGGGAGATATCCAGCCCCATTGAGAATATGGGCCAGGCTGGACATCCTTCCAGACCTGCCTTCCCCAAACTGGTGCCCCCCAGATCTTTTGGACTACAGCTGCTGTCAGGCCCAGCCAGCAATTGCCACTCCCTATTCTCGCTCTCTAAGTTGTGGCGGCCACTTTGTGTTAGGCCACGCCCCCCTCTACTGTGGCCGCCATTTTGTGACTGGCGCCAACGGCACTTCCTCAAGCTTCTGCATCGGCCCCAAAATGTTGGCGGCTCCTTTCTGAGCGCCCCTTGACAGTGAGGCTGGGCTTGCTTGCGTGCAGGGAATGCCCACCCCACCCCCTCCAGGCTATGCAGATTTATAACCACGAGGACATGGATCGCGCCCCCTGTTCCCGTGCGTCCGCACAAAGGAGAAAGCACTGTCACCTGTTGCGTGTAGCCCCCAAGCCCAACACGATGGGGTCGGCTATTTCGATCATGGACTGCAGGGTGGACGTCACCACGATGAAGAGGATGATGCTGAGAAGGAACGTTCTTTCCAGGAGCTGCAACCCAAGCAGGCCGGTTTGGAGGGCAAGCAGCAGCAAGGTCACACCCTCCGTCACACCCCTGAAACAAGGGGAAAAGTAGGCACCTGTATATTGGATTTTTACCCCCGTGGGGTGGTTCAGGAAGAAAAAAAAAAGGGATGGGGAGAGAAAATCGCCATTGGCCAGTGCACCTCTCTAGACTTAGCGGGTAGTGGCTTTTTTTTAAAAAAAATGCTCTCTTGTTCTAGATAAATTTGGGGACTTTTAGACTTTCTGTCTTAAAGAAATGGGATTGCCTGATCACCTCATCTGTCTCCTGAAAAATCTCTATGTGGGACAGGAATCTACAGGTAGAACTGGATATGGAACAACTGATTGGTTCAAAATTGGGAAAAGAGTACGGCAAGGCTGTATATTGTCTCCCTGCTTATTTAACTTATATGCAGAATTCATCATGCGAAAGGCTGGGCTGGATGAATCCCAAGCCAGAATTAAGATTGCCGGAAGAAATATCAACAACCTCAGATATTCAGATGACACAACCTTGATGGCAGAAAGTGAGGAGGAATTAAAGAAACTTTTAATGAGGGTGAAAGAGGAGAGTGCCAAATATGGTCTGAAGCTCAACATCAAAAAAACGAAGATCATGGCCACTGGGCCCATCACCTCCTGGCAAATAGAAGGGGAAGAAATGGAGGCAGTGAGAGATTTGACTTTCTTGGGCTCCATGATCACTGCAGATGGTGACTGCAGTCTCAAAATTAAGAGACACCTGCTTCTTGGGAGAAAAGCAATGACAAACCTAGACAGCATCTTAAAAAGCAGAGGGATCACCTTGCCAACAAAGGTCCGTATAGTTAAAGCTATGGTTTTCCCAGTAGTGATGTATGGAAGTGAGAGCTGGACCATAAAGAAGGCTGATCACCAAAGAATTGATGCTTTTGAATTCTGGTGCTGGAGGAGACTCTTGAGAGTCCCATGGACTGCAAGAAGATCAAACCTATCCATTCTGAAGGAAATCAGCCCTGAGTGCTCACTGGAAGGACAGATCCTGAAGGTGAGGCTCCAAGACTTTGGCCAACTCCTGAGAAGAGAAGACTCCCTGGAGAAGACCCTGATGTTGGGAAAGATGGAGGGCACAAGGAGAAGGGGATGGCAGAGGACGAGATGGTTGGACAGTGTTCTCGAAGCTACCAGCATGAGTTTGACCAAACTGCGGGAGGCAGTGGAAGACAGGAGTGCCTGGCGTGCTCTGGTCCAGGGGGTCACAAAGAGTCGGACATGACTAAACGACTAAACAACAGCAAGACTTTTGGTGGCTCCCTGGTTGTGGAACACTCTCCCCAGGGAGGTCCATTACATATTTTTAGGGGGCAGGCAAGAAACATTCCTCTTTTCTTGGGGATGATCCAGACAGTAATTCCCAGGTGTCAAGAAAGGTTATTTATGTATGCTGCTACTGCGGCCCGTGTTTTGTTAGCCCCCAAATGGAAAACAAGTAAGGTCCCAACTAAAGAAGAATGGCAGCTTAAGATGACGGAATACGTGCCGCTTGCAGACTTAACATACAGAATAAGAGAACAAGAAGAAAGTTCGTTTAAATAAGATTGGAAAATGTTATGGGAGAAAATTGTGTGCACTTGAAAACGTGGGCAGCATTAAGATACATTCAATAGTGCAAATATGTTTTGATGGATGTAGTAATGGAATACTGAATGGTTTTGTTCAGGGGTCAGCAATCTTTTTCAGCAGGGGGCTGGTCCACTCTCCCTCAGACCTTGTGGGGGGGGCGTACTATATTTTGAAAACAAGCAAACAAACAAAAAACGAATTCCTATGCCCCACAAATAACCCAGAGATGCCTTTTAAATAAAAGGACACATTCTACTCATGTAGAAACATGCTGATTCCTGGACTGTCCGCGGGCCGGATTTAGAAAGCGATAGGGCTGGATCCGGCCCTCGGACCTTATTTGCCTACCCATGGTCTAGGCAGCTGCTCTTTCAAGCTCTCTCACCTGTGCATCACGTTGCCGTCCTGGAAAGCGCTGTAACCTGCCAGGTAGAACTTGCAGAGTTTGAGGAGGCCCAGGGCCAGGTAGGAGACAGTGAAGGTGAGCCCAATGAGGGAGTACGGGGTGCTGCAACATTCGGCCACACTATGGAGAGGGAAAACGTTAAGAAGCCCCCAGGATCAGACCAGGCAGAGGCCGTCGAGCCCAGTACCCTGTTTCCTAGAGTGGCCAAACAGGGAGATGGAGGGAAAAGCCCTTCTCCAGCCGCTGAGACTCAGGAGGCCACTGCCAAAGATTTATCCTTTAAGCACCACACTTGCTTTCAAGCTAGGGGCTATCGCTCTGCCACAAGACAGCAAATCCTGCACTGCGGGAAGTTATTAGGATTCTAGGGGCCTGTCTGGACTGCGCCAATGGCTCAGCGATCTTAGGGTGAATATAAATTTGATAAACAATGGTAATAATCAATAGTTATCTGGTCCAGCATCCTGTTCTCACAGTGAAGAAGAAGAAAGACACAGAATAATAGAACTGTAGAGCTGTAAGGGAACCCTGAGGGTCATCTAGTCCAACCCCCTGCAATGCAGCGGTCTTTTTGCCCAACGTGGGCAAAATGTTGGCATGTTCCAAGAGCCCTTTCCATTCCTCATGGCTCAACGCAGCAATGGGCATAGCCGAGGGGCCAAGCGCGCCAGGGAGTATGCCATGTCAAAGGTTGGAAGCCAACTTAATAATAATAATAATAATAATTTATTTATACCCCACCCTCCCTGGCCAGAGCCGGGCTCAGGGCAGCTAACACCAGTAAAATTACAATAAAAACATAAGGGGGGGGGGGGAGAGAGAAAAGAAAGGGAAAAAAAACAATTATTTAAAATACGGGTTAAAATACAAATTTAAAATTCAGACTCATTTTCATAGTAGCCCATAGATCAAAACCATAAGGGGAGGGAAACATAAGGGTGAGACTGAGTCCAAACCAAAGGTCAGGCGGAACAGCTCTGTCTTGCGGAAAGATGTCAAGCCCCGCAGGGCCCTGGTCTCTTGTGACAGAGCATTCCACCAAGTCGGGGCCAGTACTGAAAAGGCCCTGGCCCCATCGGAAGGGCTTTTCCCATGGGGGATGGAACAAGCTTGTTTTCTGCCGCAGAACCCAAACCAGTGGATTTGAATGACAAGGAAGGAGATTCGCAATAAAAATTAGGAAGAACTTTCTGACGACAAGAGCTGTCGGACAGTGGAATGGACTCCCCTTGGAAGGTGGTGGACACTCCTTCTCTGGAGGTTCTCAAGAGGTTGGGGGACCATCTGCCGGGGCTGCCTTGGCTATGATCCCTGCGTTGCAAGGGGTTGGGCTAGATGACCCTTGGGTATCCCTTCCAACGCTACAATTTGATGACTCTGTGGGAAGTTGCTGCTCACTTCCCCTCCCCGACGCACCACCTTCCTACCTGCTGAGGAAGATGAAGACCAAGCCTTGCTGGGGCAAAGGGTTGCCAGAGGAGGAAGAAACCAGGGCATAGATCTGCAGAGTGAACAGCGCCAGCCAGAAGACCAGGAACAAGAGCGGGACAGCCAGCTGCCGCCAAAGGGACATCGCCAGCGCCACCAGGCGATACACCTCCAGCACCTGGGGACAAGAAAAGGGAGGCCAAAGAGAACCTCGAATTAGACTTAGAGCAGGGATGTCCAACCGGTCGACAGCGATCAACTGGTGGACCCTGGGGATGTTTGAGTTGATCGTGGGCTCTTTTTCCTTTGTGGTGGAAAAAGAGGATCTGGCCCTGTCCTCCATTCACACATGATCGCTAGATAGGAAGACGGAGTTTGCGCCGTGAGGCTGTTTTTTCCCCTGATCAATGTTTTGGTGAGCGACTTTTCCCTTTCCCCCCTAAAGAAAGCTCAACATCTTAGACCTGCCCCTCCCATAAAAGGTCAACAACATTGACCAGAACCCCCCAAAAAGTATACCACTTTGATATCCCCCCTAAAAAAAGCTCTACAACTTTGACCTGAACCCCTAAAAAAGGGGTAGATCACTGCCATCTCTTGGGAGTTGGACGTCCCTGATTTAGAGGAACTCTTTGCTGGGGGCCCTTCCTGTCTATGAAGAATTCCGAATCAGGACCTCACACACATTTTTGATAACATTCGAGCCAGATGCTCATGCAGTTCTCCAGGATCCTGGAGCATTGGATTGGGACTCCAAGCAAGAGCTCCCTGGAAGAGTTGGGTAAAGGGAGCCCTGACCATTAGGTCCAGTCGTGACCGACTCTGGGGTTGTGGTGCTCATCTCGCTTTATTGGCCGAGGGAGCCGGCGTACAGCTTCCGGGTCATGTGGCCAGCATGACTAAGCCGCTTCTGGCGAACAAGAGCAGCACACAGAAACGCCGTTTACCTTCCCACTGGAGTGGTACCTATTTATCTGCTTGTACTTCATGCTTTTGAACTGCTAGGTTGGCAGGAGCAGGGACCGAGCAACGGGAGCTCACCCCGTCGTGGGGATTCGAACCGCCAACCTTCTGATCGGCAACTCCTAGGCTCTGTGGCTTAACCCACAGCGCCACCCGCGTCCTGAAGAGTTGGGTGCTTGCTTGCAATTCCTTTCTGACACTAAGAGCTGTTTGGTGGTGGAGCAGTCTCCCTTGGGAAGCAGTGGACTCTCCTTCCTTGCAGGTTTTTAAGGTGGCCATCTATCAGGGATGCTTTAGCTGAGGTTCCTGTCAGTTTGCATTTCTTAGTGCAGAAAATATTGATCTGATGTGTAGAAATCTTTCCTATTCTACTGAGTTCAAGAGGGCTCTGGAAGCTTCTGGAAGCTTCTGTGCGTGAAAGAAACAAGCAATAGGTTCATGATGTTTGAGTTATACCTTCAGAGAAGCTGAGGACAGCTGGCTTCAACTGGTTCTCTTTTTTCTTTCTGTCAAGGTCATGCTAACTATAAAAGTAAGGCTAGAAGGAGCCCGGGTTCACTCTCTCTATCTCTTTCCTTCTGGTGTGGTGTTTTGTACATAGTGGTAAGGTTTAGACTTATTATAAGTTATTGTAAGTTTAAGTTAAGTCTGCTGCAACTGGATTTCTTATGGGCAGTGCCAATCCTGAATGTATTGGATTTGTGACCATTATGTTCATTTGCCTTCAGTAGCAGTAAAGCTCTGTAGATGGGCTTTTGGGAATCCTGCAACGTGTTTAAGTTTTTACTCTAACTATACGTTAGAGTTCTGCTCTGGATCAATATTGAGTATTACAGTATTTTTCGCTCTATAGGACGCCCTTTTTCCCCCCGCCAAAAATTAAGGGGAAATGTGTGTGCATCCTATAGAGCGAATGCAGGCTCCTTGGCTTCAGCTATAGCAACGCGAAGCCTCTGAAGCGCAGAGGGAGCGCTCCCTCTGCACTCCAGAGGCTTCGCGTTGCTTTAGCTGAAACCTGGAGAGCGAGAGGGGTAGGTGTGCACCGACCCCTCTCGCTCTCCAGGCTTCAGGGATAGCCGCCTGAAGCCTGCGGAGCGCAGCGCGAGTTCCCGCTGCACTCCGCAGGCTTCAGGTTCCTTTCACTGAAGCCAGTAGAGCAAGATTCTCCTGGCTTTAGCAGAGAGGGAAAGCTGTGCAGCGCCCCTTCAGCCAAGCGGGAGGAGAAATGGAAGGGGCTCCGTTTCTCCTGCAGCTTTGCTGAAGGGACGCTGAGAAGAGAGGGGGAGTTTTTTTTTCTTTCTTGTTCTCCCCCTCTAAAACAAGGTGCGTCCTATGGCCCGGTGCGTCCATAGAGCAAAAAATACGGTATTTCAAAGACAGTTCCTTCACTGCAGGGAGCTGGACCAGATGATTCTCATTCAGCAATTCTATGAGCTAGCTGGACCCAAAGGTCTGGGGTTCTTATGAATTCTAAGCTTCCTTACGACTGAACTATGGAGGACGGGTATGCACAAGGACAAGTTGGCAGGGAGCAGCTGCCAATCAGAAACTGCTACGATTCGAAGGAGCGATCCCTTTGGACCTCCTTCATCACCTGAGCAACCTCCCGGCAGGCGACCGTTGCCCATTGGAGAGGAACCACCAAGCAGGAGGCCACAACGTAGAGAGCCTCCATCGCGGTGAGAGCTGTGGCGACGCTGTTCACGGCGGGCAAGGCCCGAAGCGGGAGGCAGCACAGGCGGGCGGCCAGAGGGAGGAGTGGAGCCCCAAAGAGCCACACCCGCTTGGTCTTCAGCAGGAGGGCGCAGAGGGTGGCAACGATGACTTGACCTGGGGAGGACGGGAGGAGAAAAGTAGGGGGGTCAGGCGGGTGTCCCAAATGCAGGAAGGCAGGGCTCTGATAACGTCCTTGTCTGGATGTAGGACGGAGAAGGGTTTGGAAGTGCGTGTCAAAACCAGACCACAATGATAAAATGCACATCCAATGCTCCGCCCACTTTTGCCCTGGCCCCGCCCACCTGGCCCCTGGAAGGCTGCCCAGTCGGAAACGTGGCCCTTGGGTTAAAAAAAAGTCCCCACCTTTTCTGCATATAAGCAGATCAAAGAGCAGTGGAAGAGAAGGAACAAGCTGGGAACCTTCCCTTTTTTGCGGGAAATTCCCTTATCGCAGCATCGTTTCCCGCTGCTATCCCGGATTGTTAGATATCCCGTAGACTGTCCCTGGGACAGGTGAGGCTGCTGATCCCTTATTTCCGAGGCTGCTGATCCCTTATTTTTCAAATCTGAAAATTGACAGCTACGGTTCCTCACCTGTGAGTGCCGTGGCGAAGTGGCTAAGGGCCACGGGGTCGTTGTAGACGGCGCCGTGGAAATCCCGCTCCATCTCGTGGCGGATGTAGTCTCTGGAATGGGACCCGGGAAAATAGTTTGTAATGCCAAGCAGGACGCAAGCCCAAGGAGGAGCTAGCTCTCCGTTGCTTAATAAAAGAAACCTTGGTACCTCTTCCTATGACAGTTTCCCTGCCCTCTCTTTCTCCAGCAACCAAGGCCCCATTCACATATGATGTTCCTTCAGTTTTGCAAACTCTGGGCTTGTTTCAACTCCCACCAACAGCAGAGATGGCCGGCCAAGTGTGGAGCTAGGTATCTGAGCTGGATCTGAGCTGCCAGTGGCAAAGGCTGTCATAGTCCAGGCCAGAAATTACCAACTACGCCACATTTTGTCACCAATGTCAGAAGCATTACCCAATCCTTGGCAAGTTGGTAATGAGGCTCCATTTTCCAGCTAGTACCCTGGCTGCATTTTTCTGCTGCTCCCAGTGCCCAAGAGCTAAGAATATCCTGCGATTCAGCAACTGAACTACGTGATTACAGAAACGGGAACCTAACACAGGACTCAGCTTCTTGAGTCTCCCATTTTTACTTAAAAGCAAGTTTCAAGTCTTTAGGACTGCAGTGTGTCCACTGCTCGGGGCGGGGGCTTCAAAGTCTCGCCTCTTTCTTTGCTTTCCCCGTAAACAACAGAAGTAAAACAGTATGCAAAAACAGAACCAAGTGAGGGCTCTCTTTGTGTAATTTAGACAGAACTTCTCTCAATGCGGAATTTTAAACCCTTCCTTTTGGAGCCAGGCATACGTACACTTCTGCAAGGATATTACTCCCAGAGACCCACCATGATTTTTCCTGACCCAACCACTCTGGGAGGCTTCCAGCAAAATAAAATAAAAAACACAATAAAATACCAAACATTAAAAATGTCCCTAGCTGCCTTCAGATGTCTCCTAGAAGTGAGATAGTTGTTGATTTCCTTAACATCTGATGGGAGGGTGGGTGCCACTAGCGAGAAGGCCCTCTGCCTGGTTCCCTGTAACCTCACTTCTCACAGGGAGGGAACCACCAGAAGACCTTTGGAGCTGGACTTCAGGGTCCGGGAAGAATGATGGGGGTGGAGACGCTCCTTCAGGTCTACTGGGCCAAGGCCATTTAGGGCTTTAAAGGTCAGCACCAACACTTTGAACTGTGCTCAGAAACATACAGTGGTACCTCAGGTTAAGAACTTAATTCGTTCCAGAGGTCTGTTCTTAACCTGAAACTGTACTTAACCTGAGGTACCACTTTAGTTAATGGGGCCTCCCACTGCTACCGCGCAGCCGCGCGGTTTCTGTTCTCATCCTGAAGCAACGTTCTTAACCCGAGGTACTATTTCTGGGTTAGCGGAGTCTGTAACCTGAAGAGTCTGTAACCCAAGGTACCACTATACTTCCAAGATTTGACATAGGCCTTGGGCAGGTGGAAAGCACCACTGGAAACTCCCACCTGCTCCTAGCAGGCCCCAAAATGCGGCTGCACCTCGCAAAACATGTAAAAATGGCAAGGACCCGTCCTTCAGCTCCTGCAGTTTAGAGGCAAAGGACCAGGAGACTACAGCGCTCCTAGTTCCTTTTGCCATTGCCAGGAACTTTTTTTTTAGAGCAGAGCCTGCTCCACACCACCTGCTGCCCCCCCCCCCCGACCTCAAGCCCTTCCTTTCTAGCAAGTCAACTCTATGATCGGCCGCTTCCAGTTCTCAGAAGGAGGCAACCGAGTCCTTACCGGGCCGTCTGGTGGCTCACATACAGCAGCAACGCTGTCAGGATGTAGAGATACAACTTCACAAGCATCCGGACTGGGAGCAGCAAAACCACCACACACACCAAGTGACCTAAAACAGTGAGGAAGAGGAGAGAGAAGCCAACATTTTAAACACTCTTATGTCTGCCTGTTTAGTTTTGCGGAAAAGCCCTCAGCTGCCTTCCGTCAAATGTTCAAGGGTCAGGCTGTTGTGCCAAACACTTGCCTGAACTCCTCTCCAAACCTGTGAATATTCTGCCCGGCCATGATTGCAACTGAACAACATAGACCATGGCAGTAGGCAAAGAACTCGGTATGCCAATGAATCTTAATTCTTTTCTGACTGAGAAATAATGTCGAAAACTCAGCTATATAATCTAATCACCAAATGGCACCTTAAACCTAGGTTACGGTCACCACAATGGAATTTCTCTGCATCATACCCCACCTCCCAAAGTTAGTTCTTGTTGTTGTTGCTGCTGCTTTATATTTTATATACCAAAGCGGTTTACAACACATTTTAAAAATAAAACAAATTCATGCTCCAAGGGAAATATTTCAGATCCTTCTCCAAGTGACATTCTGCTTTTGCCAGCTGCTTTTGCCCAGAGATCTCCCAGTGGTCACAATTGGGTCCCTGCCAGTTGCAAAACGCACCCGGCGCCTGGCTAATTTCTAACTGCTTATGACAGCAGAAAGCATGCGGCAACAGGCAGAGGGAACTTAAAATACCGGCTGATGGGGACTTAGAAAGGCCAGGGGATTGAGATTGTCTGCAAAGGTCCCACTGGGTAGAAGAGGCAGAAAGAACTGTGTACACATAACTTTGCAATGATTGTATAGCGAAAAATGTCAGTCTCAGCAGAACATTAATCCAGTCAAAATTGCAACACACCATTTTTTCCACATCTGCAAACATGTTTTCAAATCCACAGGCCAGCCCTAGATTATTCCGTAGTATCATAAACCTATACTATTTATTAAGACGCGTAACAGATTATCATCTTCTCATTGCTTTCTATATAAGTAATGATTTTTTATCACTGTCACATCCCCAGTGTTTAATTACTCTTTTTTTTTTTAAGCCGAAGGTACATTTGTGACTTTCCAAACTTCTGGCAATAAAAACTTACAACGGCTAGCAATGTGAGCTGAATTATCGCTGATCAAATACATTCCAGGAGACAGACAGACCTCTGGAGCAGCCAGAATTCATAACCTGATACAGGCATCAATTTCTTCAGCGGACATAATTTATTCCAGGATGTATAATCCCACTTTTTGTGTATGTGTGCATGAACATTTGAACATATACACAGATCCTGGAGCACCCATATGCAAAAATGTCCTCAGTTTACATAACTTATTCCAAGTTGCATAATTTCACATTGTGTGCATGAGTGGGAAAATTTTAGTTACTTTGAATCAGGATTTTAAACACAACATGTTGACAGCTTGGGGCAGAAAGCAGCCTGGGATATACTGGTATAATCAAGGGATTATTTGCAATAGTTTGGCACGTGTTTCTGACACCCAGTTCCTCAGCACTGCTATCGGCAAGGCGACTTCTTTCCCCCTAAAACCCCTGATCTGCAGTAACTCAGTTGTGTCAGTATGAATAATAATAATTGCAATTATAACCCACTCTTTTACTCCAAGGAGCTCAAAACAACATAAATTCCCACAACAACCCTGTGAGGCAGGCTAGGCTGAAAGGCACCAAAGTCACCCAGTGTCGAGTGGGGATTCGAACCCAGGTCTCCCAGGTCCTGGTCCAATACACTGACCACTTCACCACAATGCCTCTTAGGCTTGTAGATTTATACTGCAACATGCAGGTCATCTAACGGTACATAAAATCACAGAAGATGGCCAGTAATCGGTTCAATAACTCCCCGCCAATGTAATCTTTTTGGCTCAAGTTGGTGGGCTTTCTTGGCAAAACAAAGCCGACACCAGAAGCCTGAATCCTGTGCCGGGCACTCTGCACATGCTCAAGAGTGGTGGTGTCAAGACCACGAGCGGCACAACCACCACTGCGGCGACTTCACCCCGTCTCCCACCTGCCGGACCTGCATCACTCACCTGCGTAATAGGCGTTCCACAGGTGATGTCGCCACAGGTAGGTCCCCTCCGGCCTCCTCGGGTGCAGGAGCAGCTCCGCGAAGGCCTGCACATCCCACCGGTAGAGCAGGTCCAGCAAGGCGATGCTGGGCACGCGGAGCGCCACGTTGGCCACCTCTTCCAGGCTGGGCATGGCAGCTCTGAGTTAAGGACCCCCCACCCCAAAAAAACACCCCAACTCCAGCAGGGACCTGAGGCTCTGCTCTTCCCTTACCGGTCTAGCAGAGCCCAGTGGGGGGGTCTCTCCCCCCCAAGAAGGATCTCTCCCTCCCCCCCCCCCCGCAGGCCTCCTTCCAGGTGGGTGGTCTCAGGGGAGGGGCCGAAATAAGAGGGGGCAGCAACCCCAAAAGAGAGGCAGAGGAAGGCAGGAGGGGAGCTGGAATGGGGAGAGGGACGTAGGGAGGGGGCCAAATCTCTTTTTTGGGGGGGGTGTTAAGAAGAGGGGCGTTCACAGTTGGGAGGGGGGAGCTCGAGGGGTGGGGAGAAAATGAGATGGGGGAGGGGGCCAGGGGGTGGGGGGGCGTCAGGTTTGGTGGGAAGAAACAGGAGTTGGGGGGACAAGACTCCTCTCCCCCCTCAAGGAAAGTTAGGAGGGTCAAATAATTCTCGGGGGGGGAGGCAGGTTCAAATAAAAGGGGAGGGGGAGGAAAAGAGTGAGGACTTGGGGAGGGGGCTGCGAAAGAAGGCGCGGGGGGGTCGGGTTTCCTTCCGGGGGGCAGCCCCAGTAATGGGGTGCGGGGCCCCTCAAGGCTGGGGACCCTCCCCCACCGAGGAGGGGGGGCAGAAAAATCCTCCTCTCCGGGTCAAGCGACGCCCCCCCACCTTGCCAGCGCCGTACTTTCACTTTCCCTCAAGCCCCGCCCCCTTGCCCCGCCCCGCCCCTCCCCTAGTGAAGCCTCGACCGCCATCTTGGCTCCGGGCTCGCCCTTCCTTCAAAGCCGCCCCGCGGGAGCCACGTGGCGCTCCAGGGACGCCAGCGCCCCTGAAGGCTGCGCCGCCATCTTTGGTGAGGGCGCCCGCTTTTTTTTTCTCCTCCCCCGTTAGGTACAAAGAAGTTGAACTTCGACCGATCCCGAAGATGCATCACTCCCGGTTCCCATTCGTCTCTCCATTGTTCCACTCATCCCCTCCATGTGCGGGGCAAGGATGGTGGGAATGTGGCACAGGGAACCCTGCCGGGGGTATAAATATGAATTGCAATGGAGGGGAAATATCTGCATCAGTGTATTAAATAAGCAGGGAGACAATATACAGCCTTGTCGTGCTCCTTTCCCAATTTTGAACCAATCAGTTGTTCCATATCCAGTTCTAACTGTAGCTTCTTGTCCCACATAGAGATTTCTCAGGAGACAGATGAGGTGATCAGGCACTCCCATTTCTTTAAGAACTTGCCATAGTTTGCTGTGGTCGACACAGTCAAAGGCTTTTGCATAGTCAATGAAGCAGAAGTAGATATCTTTCTGGAACTCTCTAGCTTTCTCCATAATCCGGCGCATGTTTGCAATTTGGTCTCTGGTTCCTCTGCCCCTTCAAAATCCAGCTTGCACTTTGGGAGTTCTCGGTCCACATACTGCTTAAACTAGCAGTGGCCTACTCTGCAGGGTGTTGTGAACCATCCTGTCTCAGCTACATCCTGCTGATCTGCAACAAACTTAGTCTCTAAGGTGCTACTCGTCTCCCTGCTTTTTTAACTTATATGCAGAATTCATCATGTGAAAGGCTGGGCTGGATGAATCCCAAGCCGGAATTAAGATTGCCGGAAGAAATATCAACAACCTCAGATATACACATGACACAAACTTGATGGCAGAAAGTGAGGAGGAATTAAAGAACCTTTTAATGAGGGTGAAAGAGGAGAGTGCCAAATATGGTCTGAAGCTCAACATCAAAAAAACGAAGATCATGGCCACTGGTCCCATCACCTCCTGGCAAATAGAAGGGGAAGAAATGGAGGCAGTGAGAGATTTGACTTTCTTGGGCTCCATGATCACTGCAGATGGTGACAGCAGTCACGAAATTAAAAGACGCCTGCTTCTTGGGAGAAAAGCAATGACAAACCTAGACAGCATCTTAAAAAGCAGAGGGATCACCTTGCCGACAAAGGTCCATATAGTTAAAGCTATGGTTTTCCCAGAAGTGATGTATGGAAGTGAGAGCTGGACCATAAAGAAGGCTGATCGCCAAAGAATTGATGCTTTTGAATTCTGGTGCTGGAGGAGATCCTTGAGAGTCCCATGGACTGCAAGAAGATCAAACCTATCCATTCTGAAGGAAATCAGCCCTGAGTGCTCACTGGAAGGACGGATCCTGAAGCTGAGGCTCCAAGACTTTGGCCACCTCATGAGAAGAGAAGACTCCCTGGAAAAGACCCTGATGTTGGGAAAGATGGAGGGCACAAGGAGAAGGGGACGACAGAGGACGAGATGGTTGGACAGCGTTCTCGAAGCTACCAACATAAGTTTGACCAAACTGCGGGAGGCAGTGGAAGACAGGAGTGCCTGGCGTGCTCTGGTCCATGGGGCCATGTTGAGTCGGACATGACTAAATGACTGAACAACAACAAGGTGCTACTGGACATTTTTTTATATTTATTGCAACATGTAGGTTAAAGATTGGGTTGGTATTGTGGGGCAGTTTTTCTTCTGCAATCGGTGCTGTCTGTAGGCATTTTTTCTCAAAGCCTGCCAGTTATCAAGTGTTGGTTGCCTTGGTGACCTTTTGGTAAAAATTCAAGGCCCCCCCATCCCAGCTAAAGGGGAAAAAATATACCCCGACCCTGGAAGATCTTCACATCTTAGTTCTGGATGATTTAAAATCAAGCCTCTGTTATTCTTGCTGAGATGGAGTTATTTCTCCTCTGAACTGTTTAACAGACAGGGTTTGTTGGGCTTCACGTCAGACACCTTTGGGAAATGACTTTTAAACAGCCTTTGGGAATAGTCCCAGCAAAGTCTTGGTTTCAAAGTTCCCTTCAAGTGGATCAATTTAACATTGATGGCAGGAGAATTATTTCCTCTGGGGGCAAAAGTGAACTTTAAAAGCTCAGCAGACAAATGAGAGGTCCCCGCCCCGAGGAACTTACAGTCTGGAATTTGACATCGAGGAAGGAAGAACAAGGTGGTGGCTGAATGCTAGCAAAGGTAGGATTGTTAATGGGCTTCCATTCTGAAGCCATTCTTGCTTTTAAAACGGTTGCTTCGATTTATATTTTTTTAAGACGAGTAAGAATTCAAGGAGTCAGCAGATCAAATAATCAGCATGGCTTTGTTTAGCCAGCAGGAGGCGCCAAACTGCCAGAAAATCCCTGGTGTGTCAGAAAGGAGGGAAGATTCACTTCTCTGCATGCCAGAAGGTGCAAAACTCCAAATCACACACTGGGCCAATTTCACAGCTGACTCAAGAGGCTTGCATTGCTGACTCAAGAGGCTTGCATTGCTACACGCACAACACATTTTTCTTTCTGTGTTCTCCGCCTCCTCCAATTATTATTATTTAATTAATTATTAATAATATTTTCCTTGTCTTTATTATGTGTTTTGTGTTTTTATCTTCTATTTTTATGAACCGTCCTAAGATCAGATGAAATGTGGTATATAAGTTATATAATAATAATAATAATAATAATAATATATTTTACTGTTATTATTGTTATGGTTTCGCCTTTCCCCCAGAAACGAGACTCGAGGAATCTCACAAAGAAAGAGTTTTGTAAACGTCTATCACGTTGTCTTTTCTCTAAAATGTCCTGAGATCTGCAGGGGATTTGCTCCATCCCCTCGATTGTTTTGACTGCCCTTATCGGAACCTTTTCCACCACTACGATATCCTTTTGGAGGTGAGGCATCCAGAACGGTGCACAGATTTCCAAATGAGGCTGCGCCACCAAACCCTCCAACATTCCTCAGGTGAAAATTGGGGCATTTCTCACTCCTCCTCAGCTGACCCTCCTTGCCCCCCTTTTAATTCATTCATTTTCTTTTTTCAAAATATAGTCCGGCATCCCACAAGGTCTGAAAGGCGGTGGACCAGTCCGTGGCTGGAAAAGGTTGCTGACCCCTGGTTTAAAGTCTTTATTGGCTTTGTAGCAGATGGTGGAGAGCGGGCAAAGAGAAGCAGCTGGTGCCACCGAGGGCCAGCCCCGTGTGACACGCCGGCTCTCAGGGGCCGGCAGAGGGCAGGGCTGTCCTGGACAGGCAGGAAGGAGGAGCGGAGCCAAGAGCAAAGAGTCTTGATTTAAAAGGGGGGAAAGGCTTTGTGCATCCCTGTCTCATCTTCCCCCTTCCTAAAAATTATGTATCAGTGTGGGTTTTCCTTTTTGTAAATCTACCAAACAGGAAAAATAAAATAAAATCAGGATTAAGGGGTTTTCTCAGGGTGGAGCGTGAGTGCGCTGAGTCCCGTTGGTGTAGAGGGAGGGACAAAGTTAACTTTTCTATGCCCCATAAATAACTCAGAGATGCATTATAAATAAAAGCACACATTCTACTCATGTAAAAATCTGCGGGCCGGACTGAGAAGGTGATTGGGCCGTATCCGGCCCATGGGCCTTAGGTTACCTACCCCTGCTTTAAACCTATAAAGCCTTAAATGGTTCAGGACTCCCATACCTCAAGGACCGCCTCTCTCCATGTGAACAAACCCAGACCCTGAGATCATCTTCTGAGGCCCTCCTTCGTGTGCCTCCTCCTCGAGAGGGTGGCAACTCGAGAACAGGGCCTTCTCTGCAGTGGCTCCCTGCTTGTCGGATGCTCTCCCTAGGGATGTTTGCCTGGCGCCTTCATTACACACCTTTAGGCACCCGGCAAAAACATTCCTCTTTAACTGGGCCTTTGGCTGATTTGATTGACATCCTATGCCCTTTTAAAATGTGTTTGGGGGGATGTTATTGGGTTGCTGTTGTTGTTATTCTGATTATGTACTTTGTGGTTTTATATTCTGATTTTATCATGCAAACTGCTCTGGGACTTGTGGGTATAAAGGAAAAGGAAAAGGTAAAGGGGCCCCTGACCATTAGGTCCAGTCGTGGCCAACTCTGGGGTTGCGGCGCTCATCTCGCTTTATTGGCCGAGGGAGCCGGCATACAGCTTCCGGGTCATGTGGCCAGCATGACTAAGCCGCTTCTGGCGAACCAGAGCAGTGCATGGAAACGCCGTTTAGCTTCCCGCCGGAGTGGTACCTATTTATCTACTTGCACTCTGACGTGCTTTCGTACTGCTAGGTTGGCAGGAGCAGGGACCGAGCAACGGGAGCTCACCCATCGCGGGGATTTGAACCGCCCACTTTCTGATCAGCAAGTCCTAGGCTCTGTGGTTTAACCCACAGCGCCACCCAGGTATAGGGCGGTATAATAATAATAATAATAATAATAAAATGCCCAAGGGAAGAGACTGATAGTGGCAGCCATGGAAAGGCCATGGGATGCTCTCTTGCAGCTGCTCAGGACAATTGCTGGCCCCTTCTCCTTCCCCCGGTGGGGAAAACGGGGGCATTTTGGGATCAGATCAGAAGCCAAGATAGTTTTCATAATTACAAGACTGTCCCTGGAAAATTGGGACACTTGGAGTGCATGCACGACAGGTTTGTACAACAGCATTATGATACTGACCGTTTTATTTCCACTTCCTTTCCTAAGGGTCCCTAGCAAACAGTTTCAGACAGCTAACTAGCTGCAGCGGTTTCCAAGAGAGAGACAGACAGACAGACAGACAGACAGACAAAAGCACCACACGGTTTCTCTCTGCAGGGCTGAGGTCGGAAAGTCCAGTTCACTTCCACTCACTGAAAAAGGAGGAGGCAGGAAAAGTAAAACCGAGCAGCGGCGACGT